GTGATTCATGGCATGCGCACGTTTTACCGATGTCACGACAGTACAAATTGCAACATTAAATGTCCATGATGTGACGTCATTTTAGTGTCTACTGACTGACAGACAGACAGTACACTACTTTATAGTAGTGAGAGTGGTTAAAACACGTAACCACTCCAGGCAGCCTTCGGCTCCCTTTCGGGGAAACTAAACATAACCTAAATTATTAGTATAGCTACCATCCTCCACCCTTCCGTGATACTATCTGGATCGTTAATGGCTCTAAAGAGATCCACACAGTAGCAGGTGATACAACTATATAAGATGAGTAATTCAAATTAATTCCCCTACAATAAAATTTAGAAATTATTTTTTATTGTGTATAATTTTGATTAAATTATTTTTTTTCAAATTTGTATAAATACTTTTATATTTAAACGTAAAATATGTAATTAAACTTTGCTCATCAAAGACATTAAGATAACTTTATTTGATAATATGTTAATATTAGATATTAAGAACTGTACATTGCTACAAATTCTAAGATACCTAAGAACCTGTGAATGTATGTAATTTGTTGGTACGTTACTCGGCTCACAATCTGAGGGTCGAGAGTTCGAATCCCCGACCTTTCAACCATGGGGATGTTATATTGTGACGGTTAATACATTATTCATTCGTAAAGAATAGCCCAAGAGTTAGCGGTGGGCGATGTTGTCTAGCTTCCTTCCCTCTAGTCTATCAGTACTACGTTCGGGATAACTAGCGCAGATAGGCTTCGTGTACGTTTGCGCGAAATTCCAAATAAACTGTGTCAAACTAACATTAACAGGATAATTATGTTGCCTTCAGCTATATGCTCAACAATATCAACAATTCTAGCAGACGTCTGTTGAAACGACCCAACGGTAATTTTCCTAAAAATATTGATGAATAAATACAAAATGTGCAGCTAACCCAATTCCTTGGATCAGAGCGTACATGCAATATGATTGTCTAGTGGGCAGTTTATAACTTTTTTTTCAAGCAAAGGAGACTAAATACAATGCATTGTTAGGTAAAATCTTTGATTTTCGATGTGAAAGATGCATCCAGCACAAGAGAGCGCTCAGCTTCGCTAAGTTGCCGTGGAAGGGGGGGGGGGGGGTTCCGCTGGATGCCAACGTTCCTTGTCATTTAACTGAGCGCAAGAAAAGATCACTACCTTGTCATCTTTATAAGTGTCAAGGTGGAGATATTTAATTCAATTCAAATCACTTTATTCGACACGGTACAATAAAATCATGCATGTATATATAATACCGAAATGCATTTATGCATTTTTGTTTTCTGTTGTTTTTTTTTTTTCAGAGTGACTGTTCAGCACATACGAAGACTGACGGACCGACGTTAATACCAATAAGAAATTTTAGGAATTACAAAAAATGAATAATTTTCCTGTAATGTACTCTTGAAAATAAACATTTTGATACATAAATACAGAGCGTGACAGAGAGACAGACATTTGGCTATCATATATGTGGAGTTAAAGTAACACCATGAAACTTGCTAACCTTTATACAATGCTGAATTTAATGGTTTAACTACATTCCTTAGATTAGGGGTCACCAAACTTTCTGAACACAAGGATCCCCAGAATATTCCGCATACCGACAGAGCCACCCAATGAATCTGTACATACTGAATACCTTAAAAACAACATATTTAGAAAATTAATCAATAATTAATTTAACAAATAACAGTACTGTGTATTAGCTCCGCCTTCCCCAGTGGAAGGAGGTCCGCGGCTAAAAAGTTTAGAAATCCCTGCATTAGATTACATTGATAACAAAAACTACCATCCCTTCACGGTAGTGGATTCGTCCGTGCTGTTGGCCCGCTGAAAGGAAACAGATATACGCGTTGATTTTGGATTTTTTTCTTGTTTCGTTCCTACTAGTTCATACCTATTCCTGAACCAGCCGAGACAACACTTACCAAAACAGTTTAAACAATAGTCGTTATCGGTAACCTAGCAACTCTACGTCACGAGATCAAACAAACAGCCAGTATTAGGCGAGGAGGTCTATCGAGCCCAAGTCTGAGTCAGGTAATCATTGGCGTGCTGTCTATCTTGAGGACTGATGCATAGTTGGTGAAGTTAACATACGAGTATATGCAGCAAAACGACCAGGATTTAACGTAAAGAAAACACCCCTGTTCAGTGGTCTGTGGAGCGTCTGTATCAATTCTGTTCAAAATTAGCAATGATTTAGTAAGTGATGTTTATATATATATATATATATTGTTTTTTAATAAAAGTTTACTTGGTATAAGAGATACTGTTAAAAACTGGGAATCACAGTTTAAAGCCCTCCTTTTTAAGCATTAAAATTAGATAGAAACTTGACAATTTAGTATATAAGTGTCAATATTACCACGTGCAGATAAGCTCATTAGTACTAAACTCCTCCCCCACGTGTTTGTCTTCTCTGCAAAGCCACAAGGTTTAAGGAAGAGCCCGTGTGTTAAGTTTATACTAAAACTGAAAACTCAACAATTGTCTAGCGATATTTCAGATTATGAAAATAACCAGAATGTTTCAGATTTACTCAACGTTTCGATTCATCAAGAACTCTGTAAACAAAGTCTAAAAGCTAAATGTTTTTTTTTCTTTCTGAAAATTCATGACCGGTTTCATATCATACATTAGTAGTCAAACAGTGATAAATACTTGTATTTAATGTGTAATATTGCAGCATAATAAGAGTGTTGATAATTTAAATTATATCAATTTTCACTGACCCACTACAGTTTTCGTGTATGAAGACTGTAGTGTTTCTATTATACCCTGTTTTTTCTCAAGCCCCTTCCAACACCGGAGACCAAACACCTCAGTACTTAGAAGTTAGCTTACGTTGTTGAGAAACGTCAAGTATGAAACAATAGGTGATAATATTAATATTATTATAATAAATGTATAACGCGATAGCTAATAATAATATTATAAGCATATTTAACAATATCTTATACTAATAATATTATTAGTGATATAGAAAGTAATAGATTGTATTATTAACAATACTATTATAAATATATAGAACAATTTATTGTGCCAATACTAATATTTATAAGTGTGCACTACAGAGTATTTGATTAGTGAGAATATTACAAAAGTGGAAATGAGGTGATTATATTATGATAACTTAGAGACATACTAGTGGACCGAGGCTAGTCCTAGAAGTGTTGAGTCGATTTGTGCATACTTTACTGCTTCCTAACAGACTGGGCTCAGGTAGAATACGTACAACTGTACATCGTTCAAAAGTTCTCTGTCTTCACCTTAAGACAACGAACTGTAACTAAGTGACGTAGGCGAGGGTCGGATTCAGCAGTTTATATGGGTGCTAGACTCACTGTCTCTTTGTTGTTAAACTACACAGTGAGTTATCTGTATTCTTCCCATCGCAGGTATCGAAACCAGACTTTTAGCGTTATAAACCCTCAGACTTGCCGCTGATCCCTATGTCTTTATTTTTTTGGGGGGGATAGAATTTAACACACAGCTTTCAGGAAAAAACATCAGTTAAGAGCAAAGTTACCAAATGGACTATCTGCCATTTTCCAGTCACGGGGATCGTACCCCGAATTTTAACGTTACAAGTATCCAAACCTACAACTGGATCAAAAGGGGTTTATAAGTACCTTAACTTTTCCTATACATAAAGGATTTTTTTTCCTACAAACTCGGTGTTGATGTAATACGTTTCCAATTTTCTGGTTTTATTTATACTTTTGAGCCCCCTAGTGGCACAGTGGTATGTCTGCGGACTTACTACACTAGAAACCGGGTTTCGATACCCGTGGTGGACAAAGTATTGTGTAGCTTTAAGCTTAACTTTAAACAAACAAATGGTTTTAGAAAGTCATTGTTTTACATGCGGGTAAAATCGGGTTAATTTCATATCAAAATTGTTGTATTGCCCAGACACAGACATATATGATGCTGCATAATAATATCTGTTGTATATTACAGTTCGATCCCCACGACGCACGTAGCCCGTTGTGTAACACTGGGGTAAAACAAAAAACAACGGAAGAACAGACTTACATAGTGATCTTGTTTTATTATGATTTATGATATATACAAAGCTCAGTTAACAATACTGAAGTAGCATTTAAAAAGTTTAAATTTTAAGAAGTACGTCTGTTTCTGGTTACGACGGATCATGCCAGACATTCCTCTGGACGTGACTCAAGTTTTGTACTCGGCTACTATAGCATGTTTCTAAGTTTAGGACTGTAACTGTACATAGTGTATTTATATCGTGTAATTACTAAAGTTAAGCTTATAAAAACTTCATCGAACTAATACATAAAAACAAACAAGCACAGGACAGTGGAAAACAAAACAGATTTTTCACATGTTAACTCCACTAGTGGTAATATAAAGATCTTTGCTGCTGCCCCTTGACATCTGATTTCACTTTGAAGTAGTGCTGAATTCAGGCAAAAAAAAACAAAAAAAACCCTATAGTGTAGTATTTTCCATTTTGTCGAATTTTAATTGTAATTCCACCCCCCACCCCCGGGGTAAAAGTCTTGATTACAAAATACTTCGATTAGAAATAACATGTACGTGGGAAAATACACATCAGCATCTATAGAGGAATGTGTCCTTGTTACAAAAATACCGGAGGGAACTTTCGAGAATCCGTGTGGTAAATCTAAACAAATGTTAAATATATCTGTGTCTCTTGTATTTATACAAACATATCTATAATCTGTCAGAAAAGGTTGAGATCGTTCAGGTTTCCATTTAATCTCATATATATATAGTCCACCGTGCTTAACAAACACAAACTGTGCATCGGTCATTGATATTATTTAATTATGCCGTAACTTTTAAAAAGTTAATTTTTTTAAATGTCGAAAACTCGTGAAGCATTAGAAAATAACAGGTATAAGATCTATATAATAATCACGTCAAACTGTAGATTGTCGTCCACACATTAGAAAATAACAGGTATAAGATCTATATAATAATCACGTCAAACTGTAGATTGTCGTCCACACATTAGAAAATAACAGGTATAAGATTTATATAATA